TTTCTTCTAATTATCCCAATAATTCTAAGGCTTTAGGGAGTAGGGTCTTCAAGCCCCTTGCTAGGGTGCGCCACCTATAAGGGACAAATATACCACCAAGTCTGCATAAGCACCATATAAGGAAAGTATATAGAGTTGTATTGTACACAATATATTTACATGTTATAGTTCCTGTATTACCCAGTCAATTCTTTTAATCACTTTGTTACCTTGTTGTACTTTGCCTATAAATGGTTACACATAGAATGTAATTGATTATTCAAAACCAATAATCTCTCTAAGCATTATATGGTATCAGAGCTCCTTTTCTCCTCCAATCCTTCATAATCCAAATTCTGCAATCATCTCAAACATGTTTATTGTTCACATTACCACACATACCCATTTCCCATCACACTCACATCATCAAACTTCCCAATTTAGAGGAAACAAGTATTATCCAAACTCATAGGTCTTAACCTTGACAAGTATGTCAAGGATTCAGATGAAACACCACCAAAAATCATTAATGGAAAACCTCACCCACTCTATTAAACATGGTATCGTCGGGATCAAATACTTGTTGGTGCTCTCCTACGAAGCTGCTTTGACATAATTTAGCCCATCGTCTTCTCCATAGAGACCTCGTGTCAGGATTTCAAATTCCTAAGTGAGAGTTATGCTAGTCTCTCTCGATCTCACATCATCTCTCTAAAATCAAAACATGCAAAGAACCTTAAAGGCTCAAAGTCAATGGCGAAATTTCTCCATGGGATAAAAGGTCTCTCTAATGAATTAGCCTTGGCCCAAGATCCTATTGTTGAAGAATACCTAATTTTCCATATCTCTTCTCTAAGCTTATCGATTATGAATGACCCTTAAATGAAAATCCTCCATCACCCACAATCGTTACTATCAATTTCATGAAAAATCAGCTGACTCGCTGCACTGGACGCATAGTTCATGACTCATGAAACAAAATTCGACCTAATTCCTTTAGGCCACGTAATAACAGATCCCAATTCAGCAGGTTTAATTCTAATCCAAATTGTCATGATACGTGTAACTCGTTATTTTGTCAACATTGTAATATTCCAGGCCACGAGACTAAAGACTGCAGAAAGTTAGCTCGCTTCCTCTATGAAAACAACATCACCATTTCATCAAGTCCATGATCTAGTCCAGTGGTCAACTACTCAACGACTGCTTCTTCTTCGCCAACCCCACCATGGATGTTTGACAGTGGAGCTTCTCACTACGCAACATCTGACTGTTCTTCATTACACACCCTATCAGATTTTGGAGGACTAGATGAAATCATACTAGGAGATGTTAAACATCTACCCATATCTCACACCGGTCACACTTCTATCTCAACCTACTCTCAATCCCTAAATCTAGATAATTTTCTTGTTGTTTCTCAATTACAAAATAATCTTATCTCTGTAGCAAAACTATGCCGGTTTAACAATATTGCGGTTGAGTGTTTCCCCCATCACTTTATGGTTAAGGATCTTTGCACAGGGGCACATCTAAGGTAGGGAATGAATGCTAATGATGTCTATTGTGTTTCCATCAACCCTCTTCATCATTTTTCACTAATAAACTCTACCGCCCTTCCTATCGGATCTATTCTCTATTGGCATCACAAGTTTGGATATCCTTCCATCAATGTTGATACATGAAAAGTGAACCTTTAGCAATCTAAAGTCAAGCCAATCCGAAGTGAAGTGTATTCCAAAGAGTGATGAGTTCCGAAATAAAGCTGCTTTTGAAATAACGACCTAACCAAGAAATACCTTTTATTCAGTGTTACTTTGAGTGTATATTTGCATTTAATGATTCTTTTCATTTAGTCATTTTTTATTGTAAAGAGCATGGGACAAGATCGAGAAAATCCTATGTGTTAGCTCTTTGACTTTGCAACTTTACATAGTCCATGCAGTCCTCCTAGTTTGTATTTTTTTCCCTCTTTGTCTATTTAAAGATATGTGATTTTCTTGCAATGTAACACTTTTGAACAACATTCTCTTTCACATCAATACCAAGTATCTTGCAAGTCAAATCATTATCTCTATTCATTCTCATTGTTCTTCAATTCTCTTTACATTGTTCATACTCATTTTGTCATGCTTGAATACTTTGTTGAACTTCTTATTTCAAGGCAATATCGGTTTACTAGACTTGACTAGACTCTTATATTACCAACATACATTGATCTTAAGTTAATTCAAGGTTTGAGTTTTCAAACCTTGTTCGCACACATATTCTTGCAACCTCAATTGGTATCAGAGCCTAAGTGGATGTCCTTTGAATCCATAAGAACGTGTTATATTCGATTTGAGATTACCTTGGTATCTCAATCATTTTTGTGTTCAAGATAAGAGTTCTTCTGTATACGACTTTAGCTTTATTACTTTAACTTCAATGGCTTCTCCTAATCCAACTCAACAAATGTACCCAATTCAAATACAAAATAGTATGATTTGCCCAACGCATGCCCCATTGCCAGTTATTGAAGAGTATGATCACTGGAAAGGTAGAATGGAGGGATTTTTACTTGGTAAGGAAAAAGGTGAAGAGATATGGGGATCTGTAACAGAAGGTCCTCATGTTCCCGTAAGACAAAAGGTTAGAGATGTTGCTACTACTCTAATGGGTCAAGAAGCACAACGTCCAACACCTCTAACTGCATCAGACCTCGAAAAGCTTCATGCAGATCAAATTGTGTTCTCAGAAATGGTCTTTGGTGTTCCTCCTTCTCTCTTTGAGCACATTAAGTTGTGCAGATCTGCCAAAAAGATTTGGGATACACTTCAAGACTTGTTAGAAGGTTCAGAGAACATAAAGGATAAGCGCTTGACATCTGTTTTGAACAACTTTGATACTTTCGCTACAACTCTCGTTGAATCCGTAGCCTCCGCATCGAATCGGTAAAGGATCGTTGTGAACAATATGACTGCACATGGAATAGTCAGAACTCCACTCAAATATAATCTGAAGTTCATCAACAACCTCGGAAAAGGGTAGGGAAATGTTAAGTCATGTCTTCAGAGTAATGGATCTTTGAAGAAACTAAAGCTCTATTAGTTATTTGACGAACTGCAAGGCCATGAGTCTAACGTTGCTCAAACGTTAAGAGAACTATCAGGAGGTCCTCTCGCATTAGTCAGTTTTGTTAACCCACTAATCCTGAACCCACATGTTTCAGATCCTTTTGGAACTATTCCATCTGTTTCATCTACTTAACCAAATCATCCTACTCCACCTATCCCACTTGTTTTGAATCATTCATTAGTAGAAAATCTTGATCTCGATTCAGTTGATTCCGAACTTTGTTTCCAACAAGAAATTTCACTCCTGTCTATGAAGTACAAATGTCCTTGAAATTTAGTCATAAACCTTTTCAAAACTGATTTTAAGCCCCTCATCAATGCAATCCTCAACGTTTCCCTAAACCAACAAAAAAATCCATTGGCATACCGACCCAACATTCTGAATCACTCCTTGGAACCTCAGAAAGTTCCAAAACCAGTCAAACCTAAGATTTTGTGTCATAAATATGGTATCGAAAACCACTTTACAAAGGACTGTTTCGCTGAAACTTATCAAAAACCAAAGGTAAAAGACTCTGCCTTCTATACTCGTAGAGCACAAGAACTTGCTAAAAGTGAAAAGGCTTTTGTTACCACAGTGTCAAGAAATGTTGATGGGTACTGGTCTTCTGGTGATGAGGGTGAAGAAAAATATGCAAGGAACATGTGTCTTATGGCTAGAAAATAAATTAAGTGTGATGAAGTCTAGTGGTATTCTGGTTTAGAAGTAGACGATGACGATTCTGAGCCAAACTTTTATTACATGGCAACAAATGATCCGCCTGGCAAAAGCATCATCCAACAGGTAAAATCCATGATTACTGACAATACTTTTGATTTACCTGTTTGTGAATCCTATCTAACTCAAATTTTATTAGATGTGATAGTTATTCATAGAGCCTATGAGTCTTCCATAGAAGTTAGTGAGAAGTTGGATAGTGAATTGACTCATCCTAGATTATGATTTAAAGACTGCAAGCTTAAGATTGGATCATTAGAGAGAGAACTTGTTATGAGTAAGGATGAATATATTATTTTAAAGAAAAATGTGAAATAACTTTCAGTGAAAGAAACATATTAGTTCCTAATTATAAACGTCTTAATACAAAAAAATGATCTGTTGTATAACTCTATTGATATTCTTGAAGCAAACAAACGAATGAGAGATAATTTTCGTCACCCATGCTCCAAAGCACTAGGTCTGGGAAGCGATTTTCCTAAACCCATTTTTTGTCCCTTAAAGGAACTTCAAAAGCCACTACTAGAAAAACAGCCTTTTACGACGCGCAAACCATGACACTCATTAATTTATGTTACGCAACCGAGAGTGACATTAAAAACGTGTCATCTATTCAGAAAATTTAAGGATTTAGGTCACGCATTACTACACGCCCTTAAATTATTATCATAAGAAAAAAAATTAAAAACACGGAGGGCGCTGTATCTTAAATGCGCGCCCTCTGTAGGTGTCGTTTTATAATTTTTATGAACACGCGTTCTTTAGTTACAAGCGGGAAAAGAAAAGACGAAAAACATTAGAAAAGCCCGCTACGTCTTTGACCTAAGCGTTTTGACGCATCTTTCATTCTCTTCACACTACTGTGCAACCTTTTCCAAGGTTACGATTTCATCTCCATCTCTCGACTTCATCATCTCAATTAAGAAAAAAGGCTTCTGATTTCCATTATCTGCTTCATCTCTGCTGTGATTTCACCTGTTTCATCTCTGCTGTTCTTGAGAATACTCGCCAACAGTGTTCTTGCACTATTCCTTGACCTGATTCTTTCTGTATTCTTTTCTCCACAATATCTTCAAAGACATTCTCACACACTTTCTCAAAAAAATCATTTTTTCTCTCTCAAGAACCCTAGCCGTCACTCACACCACCATATTTGTAGTGTGATCTGTTCAGATATATATGCATCGATGAAACAAGGAACCGTGATATGGAAGGCCACCCAAGTATTAACTCTTCAAGATTCAGGCCCCCAACACCCCATTTACATCGGACTACCAACACCACCGCAAACAAAGGTTCGAATTCCCCTTCTCCGCCGGTCAAAAATCGCTTCTCCTTACAAGCCCAACATCCGATTGACGGGTTCGATTCTCCTCTTCTGGTTATATAAAGGTATGTTGTGCTTACCATATTTCATCTACCTTTTCTCCATCCACACTCGATACCTTTTTGTATTTGGATCCGTTAACATTGTACGTCTCTTCTTCTTCCTCTCATACCGACGAATTATGGTAAAATCTTCACCATCTTCAGTCAACTATGGAGGCCAACAACACAAATAACTATGAGATCTTGGGTGTTCAAGTCCATCGATTTCTTTGTTGGTGTTGCTTCAATCTTGGGTTAGAGAATTGAAATGGATCTGACTGAAGAGATCGAAAACAAAGGTGGCATATGGGCTTTGGAGCAGAAGACCGATCAACCAATGTATGTTGGTGGTTTGGTCTCACACCTTCTTTACTGTGGGATAGAGATCCTAACCATCTGACCCCTCTCTCTCTCTCTCTCTCATGACGAAGAACACAATTTGAAGTATTATCAATCAAGAATGATTGGTTATGGTTATGATTTAAAAGGCAAATAAAAATGCAGTTGAGGTAGCTGGATCATTTTTTATCATGGGACTTGCGATTGGAGGGTTTTAGGCCCAATTATTCTTCTAATTTTAAATTGCAGGTAGGTAAACTGAATATATCAGTCGATATCGATGGAGGGTTTGTGACAACTAAGGTAATAATTTTGATTTGCTTTTAGTTGGTGTTTCTCTTACTGGTACCCTTCTTTCACATTCTCAAATTATGTGTTCTTCTATGTAGATTGGTTTGACATTTGAAAGAAAGTTTTATGAAGCACTCCAACTGCTCGATGAAATGCTTGAACAAGGTTTTTGGATTCATTCCATTCAGTTATTAGATCGTGCATTACTACATTTAATCTCAATTTAGTTGTGGATTTTGTTGACTTAATCTATGTTATGAGCATATTAGATCATATTTAAATTATTATGTTATTGAATACATGCTAAATTTCAATGTATGTATAGCCCATATAAAGTTTAAGAGATAGAAGGTTATATGCAACTTCATTGAACAAAGAAGAGTTACAAATAGTTATGTCGAATTGACTATAGTCATAGTAAAAGAGATTTGATTTTGATGTGATTTTTTTAATAAGGAGCCTCTAAATAAATGTGAAAATTTAAGGACTAGGAAATAGGACAACCCGGGTTAATTTATATAAATTGTAACTGAATCCTTAAAGGATATTCTCCTTCCTACAGAGTCGCGCCTATTTTGTCACCTACCACATGGTATCATATCCTAGGCTATTTTCTATTTTTTAGGAAAAGAATACGGTCTTTTCCGGAGAGCTTCTTGTCGCCTCTTGATTTGGTTGTTGTTCCAGGAGACAATAAGATGACATCGCTCCTCACCACCTCCTACTGATGGCACACATTTTGTCTTTACTACTTGCCAAACTTCAAAGTTTCTTTCATCATATCACATGAACCATTAGAAAATTAATTTGAAGGCCTGTAGCCATCTCTCTCTCTCTCTCTCTCTCTCTCTCTTCACCCTTTTCTCCCGATTTTTTGGGTCCAATATTTCTTTATTCATTGTCATTGCTGCTTGTTACCTATCTATGGCCACCATGAAATATTAAATAAACCAATTTTTATTTAATTTGGTTGAATGCAGGTAGTTTTTTCATTCGAAGTTTGGATCTTTTTATCTTCCTTTGTTTAGGTTATAATCCAGTTGGGTTGTATCCAGTATATGAGTTTATGGCTTGTTATATGTCAGTAGTTATATATGATAGTTATAATTCTGACCTTACCATGTTCAAATACAGGGCTTATCCCTTTTGTATTATGTATCTTCAATTCGGTTTATTCTTTGTAATATAGCCTTTCTAGATTTTGTAATTTTCTAATTGGTGTAATTTATTTTTGTATTGTTTTAAGCAGAACTTTGTGTTTAAACACTAATTCCAATAGGTTATTGCAGGTTGCAGTCCAGGCAGACATCAAGCTTCTCCACCAGCCTTGCCAGCAACAGTTACCTTCTGTGTCCCTGAGTACCTGTATAAGAATGACAACCTTACATCTTGAATGACAACCGTACCCTTGATGCACCCTTTAACTTCTCTGCTGTGGAAGGGCAGTATCGTAATTATGTTTATGGGCATGAATATTACATATTTTTCTTTTCTTATTTCTATCCCAGAGCATCTACGTAAGGAAGAAGGTGAAAAGTGCCCAACCACCACGCAAGTGATGAGAAATTAAGCATTTAGAAAGAAGTTTGGTCTTCGATCAAATAGTTGTTCATAAAATTGATAAGTCTTACCTTTGCAACTGCTTCTTTCTTACAGGTTGCAGTTCTTCAAATGTTGGAAAAACAGATGGGCCCCGAGTCATTTTATAAAGCAAGATGGTTAGCTTTACCTTCATTCCTTAGTATTATACTACTAAACTAATAAGGCATCTTCATTCCACTGTATTATTATTATTCTTCTTGGCAATGGCAGGTTTTGAAGAATCCGGTTGCACCACCTAAAGATACAACTCGTCCTTTGAGAACTCTTAGCACAAAAGAGGTGATTGCTTTGATTTCACATGAAAAAAAATATTATTATAAATTGATGGTAATTTTAAATTTTAAGATGCAGTTTCGCCACCTGGCTAATGAAGTTGTTTATTTCTTCTACCTATCCATTGAAAAATCTACCCAGTTATAGAATTTTCAAAGTAAGAAATTCTTTTAACATAAAATGCTTTAGTTTTTTGTAAGAAAATTATTAAAGTGCAACTATGACCTTTTCTGCCTTGTTAAGGCCTTTTGGCGTGTTCGGATTGAGGCGATTTTTGCTTTAGCTAGCATAGCATCCGAGGTATTATACTCATTTGTATAAATGACTGGAATACCATTTCTGAGGTTATTACTAGATTTTCTTGATATTGGTCATTGACTGGAATACCCTTTCCTAAAGGTAAATTTTCTTTTCATGCTCAAGCCAAATGACTTTCATGATTTTGCAGAGTATTTTGACTGAAATACCCTTTCTTAGGTTGTATTTCGTATTGGAGTAGTCAACAACCTAACCACGGCCACACGGCAACATTTGTTAATATTTATCACCCGCCTCAACCGGTAACCACTAGTGCCGTTGACCATTGGCCGGTGGTGGACCGGGTAGTGTGGACATGGTGGGACCTGCAGCAGCAGCTAGTGTCTATCAGCAGCAACAACCCTAACCAACTCAAATCAACTGGCCTAACAACTACTAAAGTAACAAACTTCAACAATCAAAACCCAAAACCCAAAAAGGTATGAGTGGATGGAATTGGATTATTAGGGATTTGATTTGAGTGTAAATCATCTTATATAGGAGGGAGAGGAGGTTGGAAGTTTTGATAGAAGAGGTTATGTTATTGTTGGAGGATATAATATATATATATATATATATATATATATATATATGATACATATAAAAAAAATGAATTCCTCTTATGTATCATATATATATATATATATATATATATATATATATATATATATATATATATATATATATGATACATATAAAAAAAATGAATTCCTCTTATAACCGATAAAAGCGACCATTTTTAAAAGGTAGAGAATGATGTGGTGGGGCCTTTTGTTTTTTTGTAAAATGTTAATCGTTACTGAAAGGAAAAGAAAATCAAAATGTAATTTTGATTTATTTAATGTCTCGTGTCTTGTAGTTTCATGATGAGTACTTATATACTCAGATGATGCAGGGAAGACACTTTCAGTAGGCTGCAAGTTAGTATATTTGACATCCATACCCTTGCACTCTTGACATGTGGAAGCTCATGCGTTTCTATTAATGTATAAACACAGGTGCGATTTGCATTTGGTCAGCTTCATATAGGTTCTGGAGTTAGATGGACTCTTGTGGATTTTCTTCGAGGCCATGGTGATGAACAAATAAGTGCACTCTCATGGAGTCCTGGTGGAAGATATCCTAAGTAGCTTTTGTTTTGCTTGCATGCTGCTTTTCTTATTCAGTGCTACTTTGATCTATTTTGAAATGTTGATTTTTAGAGTCTTTTTGCATGACCAAATTTAATATCCAGTTATAATATAATGCTTCCCTTAACGTATCTTCACATATGTAGCATCTGCTTCATATGAGAGCTCATCATTCACAATGTGGGATTTTGCTCCAGGTATATTCTTATGCATGTTGAGTTTTTCAATATACCCCAGATTAGTTTATCATGACTATGCTCTTGTTGGTTTTTTTTAAAAGGAAGTTAAAGGCGTATTTCTCTTTTGATATGTAAAAAAGCTAATGGATTAGAACTTACTAGAGATTATGTTAAAAAGATGATCTTTCTTCATATATTGAGCTTGATTTAAGCAATTCTTGTTGTGGGTATTTGTACAGGGGTGAGCACACCCATTCGGCAAGGATTAGGGAGAATATCACTACTAAAGTGGTCTCCTACTAGAGATTACTTCTTTGCTGCAAAATTGTAATGTTATTTATCATTGGACTCAGATGTATTCAGTTGATATATTCATTCAAGCACATATTAAAAAAGCTTTGGAACTAAAGCAATTATCATGTTGTTATGTAGTGATGGAACATTCTATCTGTGGGAAACAAACACATGGACATCAAAATTGTGGTATTTAACAAGTGGCTTTGTTACGGTTAGTTTTTTTTTTGCATATACAATATTGCTCCAGTGCTTGTAGAGATGTCATGTAAAATTGTTGTAGTATATTTTTCATGTGTAACAAACACAGCATTAGGGTTTATCTTGTTGATCACTGAGTTGTTTACATAGATACCACATGATATTTTGCTGAAGTTGGTGCTAATTGCTATATATGTAGGGAGCATCATGGGATCCTAATGGGCGTAATTTGTATGACATTAAATTAATGCAATGGATTGTATTTTTTGTATCTAATTCGTTTGTAAATTTTTGTTACAACTTCTATTGATTTGGTTTATCATTCCATGGAACGATTATTTGTATGACATTAAATTTATGCAATGGATGCAATGGATTCTATTTTTTGTATATGATATTTTATTTTCTATTATGAAGCATTAAATACAAATTTAATTTGAAAATAAGTAAATCTATAAATAATATTTTTTTAAACATTTAAAATTATGATACGCAAAAATGTGTGTCATCATTATTTATGACACGGCCTTTCTTGACAGGGGCTTTCTTTATATGCATTGCATGTCATTAACACACGCGTCATAAGGTTACGACACGCGAATGCACGTCGTCTTCCTTTATGACAGGGCCTTCCTTGAGACGCATTGCGTGTCGTAAACGCGTGTCGTAATTGCACGTCGTAAATGAGCATCGTAAATGTGCGTCGTCTCTCTTTATGATAGGGCCTTCCTTGACGCGCATTTGCGCGTCGTCTGAGCCTTTTATGACGCGTAATGAGTGTCGTAAAAGGCCGTTTTTCTAGTAGTGAGCTAATGTTTATGGGTGATGTTTCGAACCATACTTATTCGGATACCCCTGTCTAACCTTTGTCATCCCTTCTTGAGACTTCAGACAAGTGTCAATCTCTGATTCCTGAGTTCAAACCTATCAATGTTACATGTCCTGATTCCAAGCTGCTTCCTCCTTTGATATCCTTGGACCTGAATAGGTATTCGAAATATTTCCCTAACATCATGTAACATCCGGATTCCCATGTATTATATTTTTATCATTTTTTTGATAAAAACAGAGGGAATCGACGAGTTAAGTCTTAAGTCGTAGACTCGTAGAGTAGGACCGCAAATGTTGACTGGATTAATGAACGGACTCGACGAGTCGGGAAGGGTGGACTCGACGAGTCTGCACTGTGGATTGAAACCCTAATTCTCGGGGTTTGTGCCTTATTTAAACGCCTTTATGGCCTTCATTTGTGGCTACCATTCCAGAGAGAAAGACCCTAGCAATTGTGAGTGAGTTGTGAGAGAGTTCGAGCATTTTTATCATATTTGGTGTGATTTTTGCAAGGAAAAGGTGTTTCCAGCAAGGGGAGGTCAGGAGGATTGCATTCCAGTGGGTTTCTAGCTTGGATCTTCAAGTTTGAGGTAGCTATTCGATCCTATCCTTCTGTTTTGCTTAAGAGCATTGAATTTAGGGTTTTCTATACCCTTTTATGGCTTGTATAGATGAGTATAGTGTCCTACTGAGTGCTAAATCCTAGATCTGGACCTTTTGAGGTCCAGAGAGCCTGAACCATGCTACTTTTGTGGTTCTATGGAGGAAATGGACTTTGGTTGCCATGTTAGAAGAGATTTCACCAAAATAAGCCTAGAGTGCCTTGCATGTGTACCAAGATTCGACCTTTACATGTTTATTGGTCATGGGGAAGTCAGATCTATAGATTAGAGCAGATCTAACCTCAGGAGGTCAGATGAGTGTTTTCATGGGAGGAACTCGCCGAGCCCATAAGGGGACTCGACGAGTCGAGTCGGTTTGCCCCGCGATTCGCGACTTGTGATAAACCATTGAGTGTGGGATTGACTCAGCGAGTCGAGTGAGGACCAGGGGCGAAGAGGACATGCATGTACTCGCCGAGTCACATGAGTGCACTCGACAAGTCGGGTCAAAGTCTGACCGTTGATTCTTGTTGACTTTTAGGGTTTAGTCAGTGTTTGGACTTATGAGCCATTAGAGGGGTAGAATGGTCTTTTACCTTTCTTATAGAACTTATAGAGAAGGGTTAACCTAGCCTTTAGAAGTTTTATTAATTAGAGTGATTATTTATGTGATTAGGTGGAGGCTAGTGCAGTATTTCAAAGTTCGAGGTTTACCGAGTTACCCGAGGTGAGTCTTCTCACTATACTATACCTTGAGTGGTACTTAGAGTTATGAGATAGAGTATCTTGCATGCTATTTATGTGATGTGTTGCACAACACTATTTCTATGTGATTATGTTGTATATCAGAGTTTACAGAGTTAGGACGGGAAGGTCCACAGAGTTAGGACTAGAGGGTCCAGCGAGTTAGAGCCAGAGGGCTCACAGAGCTATAGCCTCGAGTGGATATTATGTGTTACATGTGGTATTTTGGGGAACTCACTAAATGCTTACAGTGTTTTGTGTTATGTGTTTCAGGTACCAGTGAGGATCGCGGAAAGGCGCCGACATGATCAATACACACTGTTGGAGTTTTTATACATTTTGATCTTGGGAAGTGTTTTTAAGGATTTGATATGTGATACAATGAGATATAAGAATGTTATGAATGAAATTATAAATTTTCTTTTTTAAAAAAAAGCGAAAAATTGTTCTGAAATTTACGTTATTACACATCGGTTGTATTAGAGCTCAGTTTCCGAACTCTGGTCCATCGCACAATTGCGTTATTGAGGAAATCATTTCTGAGACAAATGGACATGACACTGACAAATCCGACTTCATGTGGGCATCATTTGATAGTGATGTAGATGAAAAAATTGTGTGTGACAATTCATCCGACTCTTGTATCTCAAACTCTGATGTGATATCGAAATCGACTCTAGTGCCAATAAGCCTCGTTTCAACAATCCATCGACTAGACAAACTTCCAGGTCATCATATGACTCTCGGAAGAAACCGTTGCTGAATAATAAAGATATTTTTCATCCAAAACCGAAGCTAGGAAAGCCTATAAGAAAGAAAATAGGTCTAGGCAAGATTCTAGATTCCAAGAGAAATCTGATAAGAAAGTGTCTCAAACAGTCAATCCAGCTACTAGGAATCATAATACGTTCATGTCTGTTAAGGTCCTTAAAAGGTCCTCTAGTCCTGCTAGTTCAGATGTTCAGGACAAATTTTTCAATAGTGATATAAAAACGTCATTGTTGAGACTTCTATGAAAACTGACCTTCCCCATACATTTTTCCCTTTTGTGTTTATTGCTAAATCGGTTGGCACGATTTTCAAACCAAAACAATCTCCAAAACCTAATGTTCCTTCGAAAGTAGCAAACAAAGGACAAGTTTTTAGGAACACAGTTGTTCAGAAACCTTCCAAAGGCTAAAAAAATGTTCGAATATAAAGTGGAAAAGTCTGAAAACACAACTGTAACATCTGTGACCACAGTTATTCCTACAACATCTTGAAAAATTGTTTTTCAAAGAAAAGCAGTATCCAAACAACCATCGGTTGAATATAATTTTTGGATAAATGAAAAGACCATGACATTCTTCTTCTTTCCAAAAGAATCTCTGAAAAAGCCTTCCGAGATTCCAATTGGTCAGAAATCACAAACCAAGTCCAAAGCCCATGCTAAAATCCTTAAATCTAACTCAGAGCCTAAAAACTCAAAGTCACTGATTTTGTAGGCATTTTGTGCTTCGGAACAAGATACAATATGGTATATCGATAGTGCTTGTTCCATGCACATGAATGGACATAAAGACTTTATGCATGATCTTAAGCTCGCTCTTAACGCTAGAAACGTTACTTATGGCAACAATTCAAATTCTCAAATTTGAGATTATGGCATCTTGACCAACGAAAATTTCTCTGTCTCTAATGTGGTGTATGTAGGCGTTCTCAAGCATAATCTGATTAGTGTGGCTCAACTCACTGATGAAAACTGGAGAGTCGAATTCTGCAAGAAACATAGCTACGTTATGACAAAAGACCGGAAATAATGTCTTATCAAATTAGATCGCATCAAAAACATGTATCCTTTAGACATCAATATGATCATCGGGAAGCCTCAACTTTGTCTTCTTTCCAAGGTCATTCCTGACGAACATTGGCTATGGTATATGAGGCTATCTCATCTCAACTTTCGATACATGAATGATCTAGTTTCTGGTGAAATGGTCCAAGGTTTGCCACTTCTCAAATTTAAAAATGATCATCTTTGAGTTGCATGTGAATGTGGAAAGCAATCAAAGAAAGGTCATCCTGTGATCATTGAAAAGTCAATTTCGGAACCGTTGGAACTTCTTCATATTAATCTCTTTGGACCATCTACCGTAGAAAGTCTACATCA